TATTATTATTATTATTATTATTATTATTATTATTATTATTATTATTACATAGTTAAAGCATCAGGCTAGAAACCAGAAGACTGTGAATTCTAGTCCTGCCCTAAGCACGAAGCCAACTGAATGAACTTGAGGCCAGTCACTCTCTGTCATCCTTAGGAAGAACTTCTGAAATCTGGCCAAGAAAGCTGCAAGGACTAGTCCAGGCAGTCTCCAGGAGTCAAAATTGACTTGAAGGTATGCGCATACCCCACAATTATTATTACATGTTTTGCAAAATTCTTCTGCAGTGTTCCATAATCACTGTCCTCTCTGCTGGCAAAGAAATATAGGAGTTGAAGGCCGTCATGCCTATAAGGTATCTTATGGGGAAGATATTGCCGCTTCATTTTTCCACTTGGGAAAAATGGACTGCTCTGAAATTCATGCTTCTTCAAAAGAGCACAGAAATCATTCCGCTAACAGTCAAAGTTAAATATACCCTGCTGTAAATTACATCTCCTTCGAGTTAAAAGCAATGAAACTGATATAACTGCAGCAGGCTGCTTAAAAAAACTTTGCCAGATTCACCCAGAGATTAAAAGCTTGCCAAAGAAATATCATTAAAGTAGAAGGTTAGTAATTGCAATGCAAGTTACATCAAGGAATTTGCTTTAAATTGCTGTTTTTCTTCAGCTGCATTTTGATGGTGCCATTGTGGGCTCACTTTATATAGTAATGGGTAGAAAACCTCTCCAGAAATTGGAGGTGCTTTAACAAAGTAAGATGCATTTTAAGATACAGAAGAACCAATATTGTGTTAATGATCTTCTTGGATGCAAGGAGAGAATTATGAGTCACTACGGCTTGGGTTCCTAAACTAGAAAGCTACTATCTTTGTTTGAACTGGGGAAAATGCATCTGTTCCAAAATACACATGTTTCTAGTGGTATCCACAGCAAATTAAAGTGAAATAGAGTTCAATTTAGCATAATTAAACTATGCAAAAACTCTTGGGATTTCTTAATACAACTTGAGAAAAAGGAAAATAACAATTATAAACATTTATTTTTGTTTTTCATCCTGTGATAGTGAACATTGGATTCATTCAATACAACTAAGTTGACATGAAATAATACACCAAGGTTCAAACTTTGGTAATTTTGTATAGGAGGCAAGACCTTATGTACTGCAATGCATTTATTTAAAGTAGGGGTTGGAAACTGGAACCACTTCAGGGAAGAGATTCAGCGCCCCTATTTGACCAGGCAGGTTAAATGGTGTCAGGATGAGATCTTACGATTGGGAGTTAGACCTGTCATCTTCATCCTGGATGGAATGGTACTGGCTGCTTCACACCGTCACCCTCTGGGAAAAATGTAGGTAGCTGTAGCAAAACCTTTTCATTGATCCCAATTGTCTGGTATCTTTCCTCTTAAGGTGTCAATGGCGATTAAATTTATTTGCTTGGTTATTCATCAGATTTATTTATATGGGCGCCCATCTCAACTGAAATCTCTGGGCAGCATACAGTAACCAACTAATATAACATATGTTAAAAAATCATTAACACATTTTTAAAAAATCAGTATTAAAAATAAAATTTATTTATTTGTAAAATTTATTAGCCACCCATCTTACTACATGTCAATTCTAGGCAGCTTACAATATTAAAAAATAAAATTATATAATTTATAATAATATAGATACAATACTATAAGATCAACCTAGCTGAAAAGAAAAATAATAAAAATTTACTCCCAGTCCAACTTCAACTCATACAGTTTGACCACAAAGCAAGTGCAGATATGCAGTGTTAGCTGGAACTCCTTTAGTGAAGGATGATGGAATAGGTTGGGAAAGCACCTTACTTTATAAGCCAGATAGTGACACTAGGTCCAAGTGTCTGAAACAAACCTGTTGTTAAATATACATAATAAGTTTTATTTACTAACCAAAGCTTTACAAAAATTCATACAAAAATAACATTGTTTAAAATATTTTGTATTTAAAAAGCAGATCCATCTTACCACAGGGTAACTCTTACAATTATCAGAAGCCCAGCGATAAGTATTATTTTACCAAAATTCTACCAGATGATGCAAGGGGCAAATACTGTATTTATATAAAACCTGAAAATACCTGTGAAGATCTTGTTGTGATATATAACATTCACTCTCCCGTTTTGGAATATCTTACAAGACAAGTGGCAACAGCTGAGCACTTGTTCCTATAAAGGGAACAATACAGTAGATCATCAATGTTCATCATTTGTTCAGTGATCTTTTTAAGTTAAGACGGTGCTAAAACTGGTTTTCCCATTGCAGTCACATAATCAGAATTTAGGCACTTGACAACCAGCATATATTTCTGACAGTTGCAATGTCCCAGGTCAGATTAACAGATTAACAGAGTTGGAAGGGACCTTGTAGGTTATCTAGTCAACCCCCCTGCCCAAGCAGGAGACCCTATACCATTTTTGACAAATGGCAGTCCAGTCTCTTCTTGAAAGCTTCCGGCAATGAAGCTCACACAATTTTTGAAGTCAAGCTGTTCCATTGGTTGATTGTTCTCACTATCAGAAAATTTCTCCTTATTTCTAGGTTGAATCTCTCCTTGTTCGGTTTCCATCCATTATTCCTTGTCTGGCCTACAAGTGCTTTGGAGAATAGCTTGACCCCTTCCTCTCTGTGGCAGCCCCTCAAATATTGGAAGACTGGTATCATGTCTCCCCTGGTCCTTCTCTTTACTAGACTAGCCAAGCCCAGTTCCTGTAACTATTCATCGTATGTTTTAGCCTCCAGTCCAGGTCATGTGATTGCCATTTTCAACATTCCCAAACAGCTTCTGGAAGTAAAATAAATTAGGAAAACTGAATTAGTGTTGAATATTCAGTAGGGAGTGGATTCTGACATTCGAATCCACTAATTGGAGCAATTTACCTGGCGGGAAATTGAAGTCCTGTCAGTGGCTGAAAAACTGGACAGCTTCCGGCTTAAAAGCAGGGAGCTGGTGGCGGCTCGGCTGCTTCTTTCCAGATCTTCAATAAAGACTTGTTTTACTGTTCCTGATTGTCCTGCCTCTTCAATTGACCCTGATCCAACAATTAGTTTAATGACTCTCTGATTTGATAAATGGCTGCGGCAAAAGGTCATAAAATTGAGTGTGATTCACTTAATAATCACCAAGGGAAGTTAACAATTTAGCAACAGAAGTTTCAGTTGTGGTTGTAAGTGAAGAACAACCTATTCTGAAGGTCATGACTAATTCTTGTTGTTTGGTTTATTAGATTTCAAGGCTTCTTAACTCCAGAATTACTCTGAGCAGCTTATAATTAAAATCATCATTATCGGGGTCGGGGGAAGCTATAGTTCTTATACTATAGAAATAAAGCGCACTAAAGACCTTAGGGGACAACCAGTTTTTTTAAAGAGTTCTGGAACCATTACAAGTGGAAGCCAGCCGGATCTCTGAGAGGATGCTATTTCACAGGACAGGTGTTTCCACAGTCAAGGTGCACTTCCTGAGACCCAGTAAGTGGCCTTGTTTCATGGTTGGGAACTAAGGCCACCAATTCTGCCTGATCTTACTAGAGGGGCAGAAACTATGGAAGTTAGTCCTTCTAAGGGCCTGGTACTACACCATGAAGGATTTTGTAGATGAGAGCCAGAACTTTTTATTTATTTATTTTCCCATTTATACAGCTGCCCATCTCATTGTTATGAGTTTGGTGGCCAACAATAGTTAAAAACACAACATAGCAACAACATAACAGTAAATACGCAAGATAAACCATGAGCAGCCATCAACATAACCTGATTTATGTTGTATCTAAATTTTCACTAGCAACCAGGGCAGCTCATGGACCAGAAATATCATATGGCGATACTGAGGAAATGCCTATTGCTGCATGGACAGCTCATTTTGGACCAGTTGTAGCTTTATATTTATATTTTATTTTTTATATTTTATTTATTTGTCAATTGTTTACGAGATAATAAGTAAAAGTGTATACAAAATTATGAATACATGAAATGGGTACATATAAGAAAAATAAAAGAAAAATAAAAGAAACAATAGGACAGGGACGGTAGGCATGTTGGTGCGCTTATGCACGCCCCCTACAGACCTCTTAGAAAAGGGGTGAGGTCAATAGTAGACAGTCTAAGGTTAAAGTTTTTGGGGTTTGGGGAAGAAACTACAGAGTCAGGTAGAGTATTCCAGACATTGACCACTCTGTTGCTGAAGTCGTATTTCCTGCAATCAAGCTTGGTGCGGTTAACCTTGAGTTTGTATCTGTTGTGTGCTCTTGTGTTGTTATGGTTGAAGCTGAAGTATTCATTGACAGGTAGGACATTGCAATGTATGATTTTATATACCATGCTTAAATCAGATCGAAGACGGCGTAATTCAAGGTTTTCTAGTTCTAGAATTTCAAGTCTGGTGGCATAAGGTATTCTACAACGAGTAGTAGTACCATTGAAGATGCCCATAAGTAAGATGCTTATGGGCATCTTCAATGGTATCCTCATGTTGTACACATAGCAGTGGTCCAACTATGAGGTGATGAAGGCACAATGACTATCAAGGCCTTATGATAGGACCAGATACAATTGGTACACTGTAGAGGTCTACAAAGTCCCTTTGGGTTACAGCTTCTATCTGTTGTTTAAGCAAGAGCTGTGAGTCCGAGGCAATTCCTAGACTGCATATCAGTTTCAGATGATCAAGTTATAGCCCCATCCAAATCTAAAAGTGGGAAATCTCCAGCTCTAGGGATCCCTAATATCCATAGCCACTTCATCAAACCGAACCTGAATCTATTGCTCCTCATCCAGCTCACATAACTTTCAGACATAGGAACAGGATGGAGATAGCATCATTTGGCTAGATTGGGGCTGAAACATACAACTTGGTATCATCGGTTTTTGATCAGTTTTTGATGATACCCAAGCTAAAGAGCAAGTGACTGCTGCCAATGGCTCCAAGTGAACGTTAGACAGAAAGGGGGAGAGCATTGAATCAGAGCTAGCCTACAAATAATGGGTCAGAGTGCACCATCTCCCTTCTTATCAACACTGCACAGTGTTGGTAAATAGCATTCAGTGGTAACACTTGGGCAAACAGTAATCAGAAGAGCAAGAATAGATGCCCTAAAGCAGTGATGGCTAACCTTTCCGTCCTCATGTGCCAAAAGTGTACCAGCACCCATGAGGCAATGCATGCGGGTCCCCCATGCCCCCTGCATATACATGTGCCATCCCCCATGCGCGCTGTGACTTTCTGCACATGTGCACCTCCCCGCCCATCTGCACATGTGTGGCAGCTACCCGATGATCAGCTGATGGGTGATGCACGCGCCTACGCAGTGGACCTGTTCTGGGGCGACGGCTCGCATGCTGGTGGAGATGTGCGTGCCACTTCCTGCATGCGTGCCATAGGTTCACCATCATGGCCCTAAAGCAAGGGTCTTCAAACTTGACAGCTTTAAGACTTGTTGACTTCAACTCCCAGAATTCCTGAGCTAACATGACTGGAGGATGAATTCTGGGAGTTGAAGTCCACAAGTCTTAAAGCTGTCAAATTTGAAACCTCCTGCTCTAAAGGCTTACATGAGAGCCCAGTGCATCTAGTAGTTAAGGCACTGGCTAGAAACCAGGAGACTGTGACTTCTAGCCCTGCCTTAGGCACAAAGCTAGCTGAGTCATCTTAGGCTGGTCGCTTTCTATCATCCCCAGAAAGGAAATTGCAAACTGCTTCTGAAATCTGGCCAACGAAAACACTGGGACTAGTCCAGGCAACCACCAGGAGTCAAAACTGACCTGAAGGTGTATATGCCACACACAATACAAACAGCCCTGTAGGACAAATAGGCAGGACATGCTAGGATTGCACTTATTTATGATTGTTTGCTACCCAGAGATGGTTTGAGATGGGTGTCTGGAAATGATAAAAAAATAAAACGAAACAAAATAAAATGAACAAATGAATAAACAGCATCTCTTTCCTTTTAGGAAGGCATGCAACTGGCAGTATTTGGAGAAGTGGAAATATGAAAGCAAACCATCTTCTAAATCAGGGGTGTCAAACTTGCGGCTCATGGGCCGGATAAGTCATGTGCTGGCCCCACCCCCGCTCGGTTTAGCAAAGGGGGAAAAAGTCCTGATACCTCATGTGATGACAACGTGATGATGCAAGTCTGACACCCCTGTTCTAAACCGATGATGGTTGAAATGACAGCCCTTTCTTTGATATTTCACTGACCTTTCATGTGACTTCATTGGTAAAATGCATTTTGTTTTCTCTTTCCCTCAGCCTCTTGTGCACTTACAGTCTTCCTAGCATCCTCTGGTGTCACCCCCTTTTCCCTGCAGCTACAATGAAAGAAACACAAGTGACATTTTGACAGCAGAGCTTTGCAAGGGTGCCTAAGCCTTTCCAGGTTGGAGCAGAAACATTGCTGACCAAAGGGTATAATAATGAATATTGCATCATCCAGTTCTTGGGCTGAGACCTGAATCAGGAGAAGAAGAACCTCCACTCATCGCCCTTCTTTGATGTGATCGGCTATTCTAAGGGATTAGAATGTATACAGAACAATCAACCCTTGATTTGTGTGAATGATTGGACTCTTAAAACCTGAGTCCTCAGAAGTATTAAATTGGGTGCACCACCCCCCTTCCCTGCTTAGGAGATAATGAGTTTGTAGCTTTGATTGCAAATCTTTCACTAAACCTCCATGTCACAAGCACTACTATCTTCCTTGGCAGTTAAAAATGGCTAATGAAGATTGGAGGAAATGAATCTACTTTAACTATCAACCTTAATTAGAAGAAACTTGCAATATCTTGCTCCCAGAGAAATTTCATACAAACTCAATAAATATTGAACTGATCTTGAACTTATGGCTGCTTCCACAGTTGCAGATTTTTTTTAAAGACTTCTCTGGAATCAATTTATTATATCACATGGTTATGTGTGTCTCCCTGGACCATGACCCTGGTTCACTGCAATGGAGAGCCGGGGAGCCACAGTAATGCTAGGTGGAATCATGAAGATAACGGAGGGAACCATGCTAACATGAACACAGAAGTTGACCCAGGCAATCAGCACCAACTGACGCCATTTGAGAAACTCATTCTAGATATGTCCCAGAATGAAAAAATAGTAAAAGAATTAACTCTGGGCAAGAGGGTTGGGTTTTACAGCATCAGAGGTAAAATTGGAAGTGGGAATTTTTCCCAAGTGAAACTTGGAATACACGCTCTGACAAAAGGTAAGAACAATTCAGTGAGTGGAACTTGAGTCATGGGTGGGGGGGTGTCATGTAGGCCACAGGTGTCAAACTCACTGAGTCACATAATATTTTGTGATGTTTTCCCCATTCGTGGAGCTGTGATGGGTATGGCCTGTGCATGATGCCTCCGGCCCACAGGCTACCAGTTTGACACCCCTGATGTACGCTAAAGAGAAAACAACACGATGTGTGAAAAAGCCCCATGTTTTTCTCCCATATGTGTACTGAAAATATATGTCCTGAAAGCAGTAATTCAGATTGAATCATCCCAATTAATGCAAAAGCTGAAAGATTAACATATTTATTGACTGTCTTTTTGTGCAGACTCTTGAAATAGATCTCTGCTAATATAGTCTCTCTTCCAGTTTTCCAGTGCATATTATTTGTCTGATCAGTGAAATTAATTAAGAGGGCCAAAAATGTGGGTAGTTTTTAAGAGTATTTGGAGTATGAATGTTATTTTGTGCACAATAGCCTGGGAAGAACTTTATGAAGCTCTTGTGCTGGATCATGGAGTTTTGTGTAAGGCAAAGAAATTGTGAATGTTCTTTAATTTACAGATTTGCAAAGTCTCTATTACCTGGCAGCTTACATTGCAATTTTCAGGAGCATTTCAAGAGAATCAATAATTCCAGCTGAACTAAACTGAAACATGGAAATAACTTGTAAGGGAAGCCTAAATTCTGTGTTTTTCTTCTTCTGTATCTAATGCAGAAAAATTGGGTGAAGCATATATATTTAGACTTTTTCAAAAGACTTTAGAATAGCTTTATTGTCACTTAACAACAGAATAACTTTGATGTACACTAATTGGCATACATTAAAATTAATAGTAAAATAATATAATAATTTTAATGTACATTAATTGGCATACATTAAATTAAATTTCATTGCATATAGCTCTCAAAGGGTCACCACCTCCAATATACACTACGTAAACATGACAAAAGAAATAAATACAAAATTCTGCATATGCCCACATATATTAAGAGAAACAACAGTCTAGTTCGGATGTATACATGTACATGGTGAGAAAAATCAACCCCGCAAGTTTACCAGACAGATGGCACAGGGAACAAAGATTGTTACAGAATCTGATAATCCTGCTAGAAATACATGATGGATTTTCCTTTTACACAAGCAGGCTTGGATGTTCACGCTGGAGGGACTAAATTAGATTTGAAAGTCTTTGTAATCTCACTACTAATCTTTAGATATGGTAATCATAAGCCCATGATAGCTAAGTATATCCAAGTGATCAAGGGAGATACAGTCACATGTCAAGCTTAGTTGCAAAACATAAGCAGTCTGAGGATTTTGCACAAATCGATCAAGATCTACTCAGTTTACCTCAATTCAATTTCTCTATTTTTTTCTTTCTAAGTGGCAAGTATCTCAAGATTTTCTTTAGAAGCTGATAATTTTGTTAAACAAAATGTGTTCAGGTTCATGTGAAGTCCATTTAAGTTTGGATTGTGATAAAGAGCTTTGGATGCATAATTTATGATCTCAGCGGATAGAATTCTTCTCAATTTTGTTATTCTTGAATGTTTTGTACTAATTTCTTTGCTAAGCGAGAGATTAGTCATGCTTCCTGTAACGATGTGAACATCAAAATGGTATTTTCCAGAAAAAGTAGCCATCAAGATCCTGGATAAAAGTAAATTAGACTACAAAACCCAGAGGCTCCTCTCTTCTGAAATTTCTAGCATGGAGAAGCTGCATCATCCAAACATTATCAGGCTTTATGAGGTCATGGAGACCTTCTCCAAACTGTACCTGGTCATGGAGTATGCTAACGGAGGAGAGCTTTTTGCTAAAATCGCAATAGATGGGAAGTTATCGGAAGAAAAAAGCAAGCACATTTTTGGTCAGATTGTGTCTGCCATTAAACACATGGTGAGTCCTTTCTGTCTGGGGTTGATGAGTGTGGTAGCTCAGTAGCTCTGGAGGACTTCCAGGATATTTTGATGTTTGCAATGCCTTCACCATTCTTGGGTTGTGTTTTACTCTGAAAGCAGAGAATGCAAGACAAGCTTTCCCTATTGCTGTGATGTGTTGATCAACAATTCTTTCATGCTCAAAGCTATATTAACTGTTAGAAAAACTAATTGCAATTGAAAGCCGGATATTGTAGTTCTCTGTCTTTCAGTCTACTCTTTGAGGAGAAGAGAGTAGTAAATCTCTGCATGTCAAAGTGTGTGCATGAGAAAGAAGTACAGATAGGGCACCACAATTTATATATATTTGTCCCGTCATGTTTCAGAATTGCATTTTCCCCCTGGGGGCTCTTTGCTGTATATATCATAAGATAAAGTCCTGTAACTTCTTCTATTTAATTATTATGGCTAGATTGAATCTTTTGTTTTATACAGTAGCAGCAATTTATAAGTCTTTTTTTGGAACACTAACATCTTCCCTGTATTAGTTAATTCCAAGTTGTAGCTTGTTTTTAAAATTTGAGAGTTCTCAGAGCAAGTTACAAACCCATATAGACTACCTACTGCCCTAAGTTGTGACAAACACATTTTCTTTACCTCCTGCTCATACTACTGGCTTCTCTTGCAAGTTTCTCCTAATTAAAGGAGTTTCAAAACAGGGTGTGGCTTCCAAATTAAAGAAAGAAGACAAGGAGCATGAGTGATACCTGACATAGCGGTGTGTTCAATACTAAGCCATATAATTGACAGAATCCTGTAGGTGTGGTCTAAGATAGCCAGTTACATTCCTCAAAGCAACCAAACCATCTCTTCCTACTTCCTTGAATGTTGCTTCTCTCCATGTTTCTGAGCTGATTCATCTTGTCCTTTCTTTAACCCCACATCCCTTTGAACATCTACTCGCTTACATCCAATCCTGCAGTACTCCGCGTGCTCAATACTTCCTAATTCTTCATAGCCCCTGTTGCTCTGCCTGCCAGTTCCACCTGCTGTGGGTTTCTTCAGCGGCCATTTTCTTAGCCTCTTCATATATTCCTAAACCATCTCAATCTGCCTTCACCCAGACTATATGGCCAGAACTGATGGCATTCTTCAGTGTTTCCCAGCTGTCTTCAGTTTTCCTATATTGCTTATAGAATCATAGACTTGTACAATTGGAAAGGACTTTGGAGCTCTTTTATTCCAAGCCCCACTCAGAGCTGAAATTCTCAGATCATTCCAGACAAATGGTTAATTAATCTTGAAAAACTCCATCTAGGAGAAAATGCAAGGAAGAGATTGCAAATATCTTTAAGGAAGCTTGTAAACAGTGCTGCTGATAATTTTGCAAAGAATTCTTAACTTACTTTATTACTGCTCACTGCTCTGCCTTAATGCTTTTTTATTAAAATATCTAAATTTACATTTTTAGCCCAGATAAAGAGTTTGAAAACCTAATAACTCAATGAGTTTCCCAGAGAACACTTGTCTGCTTTGTTCTTTTGCTTATATCTATACTTTTAAATTCTACTCTGCAGCATGAGAACAACATAATTCACCGGGACCTGAAAGCCGAAAACATCTTTTACGCCACTAACACATGTGTGAAGGTGGGAGATTTTGGATTCAGCACAGAAAGTCAAAAAGAGGAATCGTTGAACACCTTCTGTGGTTCTCCTCCTTACGCCGCTCCAGAGCTTTTCAGAGATGAAAATTATATTGGGGTTTATGTGGATATCTGGGCCCTAGGAATCCTCCTGTATTTCATGACCACAGGGTTCATGCCATTCCAGGCAGACACGGTGGCCAAGCTAAAGAAGTACATTCTTGGTGGGATATATAGCGTGCCACCATTCCTGTCTGAATCTTGCCAGAGACTGATTTTGGCCATCCTGCAACCAGTTCCGTCAGAACGCTGCTCCATTGATAACATTATGAACAGCGAATGGATGAATGGCGTGCAATGTCCCAAACCCTTGGAACCCTTTAAACTGGATCCCAAATTTTTGTCTGAGGACAAAACTCTCCAGAAGGAAGAGGCTGAGGTAAAAATCACTTTGAACCACTTGGGAATCACAGAAGAGCACATTCAGAATAACCACGAGAGAGATTACTACACCTCAGTAACAGGGACTTACAGAATTGTTCTTCACCGAGTGCAGAAAAAACGGACTATGGAAATTGTCCCTCCTGTCAGCCAACCTGAGAAAGAAAGAGAACTCAAGAAAGAAAGGTCAAAGAAAAATCTGTGTTCCTATCAGGACCACAAATATTCATCAAAACTCTGTTTGATTTTATAAAGCACCTTCTTGGATTAGTCTGACACAAGATTTTTTAAAAAAGAATTTAATCCCACCTTTATTACTTTTATAAGTAACTCAAAGCAACAAACATGCAATATTCCTTTGTCCTTCTCTTTTCCCTACAACAACCCTTTGAGGTGGGTTGGGCAGAGATAGAATTACTGTTTGGTTCTTTTGTTTGGTAGCAATAAAACTTGCCCTGAGTGTTTTTGTGATTTTGAAAAAATAAAAAGGATGCCTTAAAGCTTCTAATGTATGGTTCCCATTCCCAAAGCTTAATGCTAAAGCCTATGCATTCTGTGATTTAATTCCTTTTGTAGTGGTTTTTTTTTCAGACTTCAAAATCTATCTGAGGAGAAGGTAAAACTCCGTTTTTGGAGGAATACTGCTGCGTAGAATTGAGTTTGTTGTGATAGATGCAGGCATCAACTGGTTAATGTCCTAAATAAATACATTTGTTCTCCTCCCACAACATTTATTAATCTAGAATGGTGATTCTCAACTTTCCATGTCTTATGAAAAAAAAAACATTTTTAAAAGTCACTTGTTCTGACGTCTATTTACAAGTATTCTTTTATTATATCATTGTTGATCAACTGCTATAACTGTAAAATAAATTTTGTTATCTCCACTTTATTGCTTTTATAAGTAATTCATGGCAGCAAACGTATCATTCTCCTACAACAACCCTGTGTGGTGGATTGGACTGAAAGAGACTGCCCCAAAGTCATCCAGCCAGCAGCTTTCATGCCTAAGACAGGACAAGAACTCAGCTCCTGGTTTCTAGGCTAGCACTTTAACCACTACATTATACAACTATACTATTAAACCAAACTGTGGTCTCGAAGGGCTAGTTGGGGGCTCTAATCTTATTTCCCATGGTGGGACAAGTCTTAACATACACTTGCTCCTACATCCAGATAATTAATGACAACAGAAATTGAAGCACTATTCTGCATAAATCCTAACAATAACATTAAAAGTAGTCCTCAACTTACAACGTTTTGCTTAATGACCATTCAAAATTACAATGGCAATGAAAAAAGTGATTTATGACTGCTCTTTGCCCTTATGATAGTTGCAGCATCCTCACAAGTCACATGATCAAAATTTGGGCATTTGTCAGCCAGTATGTATTTATGACACGACTGCATCCCTGGGTTATGTGATCTCCATTTGTGACTTTCCCAGACTGCTTTTGAAAAAGTCAGTGGGGGAAGCCAGATTAGCTTGACAATCATGATTCTTTTAACAGCTGCAATAATTGTGTCAAAAAATGTCAAAAAATCAGGCGTAACTCGAATGAGTTTGCTTATCATTGGAAATTTTGATCCCAACTGACATGATGAGGATTACCTGTACACCCTGTAATAGTGAGGCAAAGCTTACTGTCTCAAAGTCTTTGCAGAAAGGGTTTTCTAAGCCCAATCTTGTTGAAGATTGCTCTAGACTCCAACTATAGCAAAGGCTCAAGCTGCTTTGCCTGAACGCAGGGGTGTCAAACTTGTGGCTCACAGGCCAAATGCATCATGTGCTAGCCCCATCCTGCCCAGTTTAGCAAAGGGGGGGGGGAATCCCAATATGTCATATGACGATGCGAGTTTGATACCCCTCTCTTAACACAATTGGAGACCAATGCTTTGGCTTTCTTTTGAGCGCTTTCTGGATTCCGAAAGGAGAGTCACCATATTAATTAGTAGTTGCAAAATGCTGCTTTAGGAACTGGTTTAGGTAATTGCACGATTTTTAAATGCATTGTCTTTTTTTAAATACATCATGGCTTTATTTAATAATGTGTATGTATGTATGTATGTCAGTACTTCATCATGCAATTTTTCCCCCTCTAAAACTGCAATCAATGAGACTATCACATATAAAAGAACAGAAAAATGAGCTTCAGTTATATGGAAGACTTAGAGTTTAATGGAACGAAGAGGAAAAAAACTTGTTAAGTGCCACATATTTCAAACCCATGGCAGCTCCAGACCTCAACTTCCAGAATTTCCCAGCCAGTCTTAATTTCTAGCAGGTCACAATCTGGTATTTTCTTAGTTTTGTTTTTCTGGATGGGAAACTATGTTTACTCCCAAAGGTGCTTTTTCAAGAGACGACTGGACTTGGTTTTTTTCTTTGAAGACGTTTCGCTTCTCATCCAAGAAGCTTCTTGGTTGCCTCCAATTGCCTCTTGAAAAAGCACTTTTGGGACAATCATGATCTAGATGACTGAGAACCTACATAGAAATTTAACTATGTTTACTATATATGCTCTTCGGTATCAACTCTGAAACAACACATCATTTGGTTTTTAAACTCAAGCACCATTGATTCTCATGAAAACAAAGTATTTTTCAAAAGTAAATTTGTCATCCAACCATCAAATAGCAATGGTAGGAAAAGTCTTTAAAACCCACTGACTTAGGTAGCTAGATCTCTAGAAGTCAAGAACATCTAGCAAGTCAAAAGAAAGCTATAGTTACAGAAACTCTAGTTGTCTGATGTTTTTTCCAGGGTTAGCTGAAGCCACTTTTGAGAGGAGGGTTCCTGGGATAGCCCAGCAGGAAAACCAAATGATGCCAAGAGTATGATTTTTAAATCGGGCACTCCCACCTCATTGGATCATCTAACATGCCCAGGCAGATGAACCAGTGAAGAACTGGTCTTCACCCAGAATTAACATTCATTAATGCCTGGATGTGATGCTCTTATAAAACATTAGCCATCTATGCATAAATAAAATTTTAAAACATGTAATCTGGGAACTCTGTAGATACTATTTAGATTGCTCCGCATACTTGGTGTTTTCAAGTTTTTGATCCCAACTCCAATGGGAGTGGAATCCACAAAGTAGTTATGTTTAACATCCGTGTTTTGTGTTAAATCTAGATCAAGGATGTCAAACTGGCAGCCTGGGGCCACACCCTCCATGAATGGGGAAAACATGAAACGTCACATGGCATTGTGACACCATGGGTTTGACACCAATGATCTAGATCATCTATGGATGTTGCCTTTCCTATAAATTTTGTCTGATTGCTCATGTCCACTGATGGGAGCCTCACAATTCATAGTAACTCACTGTTGTTGAATAAGGCAGTTAGCTGAATGTATACAACACATTATACCATAAACAAATTGCATACCTCAGTGCAAAGCCACAAACAAGCGCACAAACTACATTATGGCTTAGTAAGATATATAATCTTATGAAGGTTGTACGGTCAAATTTTTGGAGTTTTCAGGAAGCTGTACAGCCATTTCCCATGGATTGTTACACGTTGCAGGGGGTTGAAGTGGATGATCCTTGTGATCCTTGACTCTGATCAATTTATTCTCACCACACTACTATGCTGACACTCTTGACATTACAAATGGGAATGGACAATAAATATTCAAAATGTTTCCGATTTAAGGTCAGAAGCATGTTCTCCGAAAGGCAATTTCCTCATGTTAACATTTTCCTTCAGATATGGAATTGTATTATAATAGTTGAAATAGGAAAGCCTAGAATTTTAAAAAATATCAAATTGAAAAAATCAGAACATTCCCCACCCCCATCAAAATAGAATGAAAAGATACTTCTAATTTTCTCCCTATTTTTTTTTCTACACCTTCACATGTTTACTTGAGACAGAGTTATTTGGTGCCTGTCAGGAAGGATGCCCATTCATATCTGTGTCTCCTTTCTTGTCCTTAGATCAACATCAAAAGCCAATTTCAAGTTGTCTTTATATGCCATCATAAAATTAAGAAAAACTTAGGATAGCTGATTTAGCATCTCAACTGAATTTCCAAATCCATTTGTTGAATCAGATCTAAAACGATGATGCAAAGAGGATGTGCCCAAACTTGCTTTTATTCCAACGCATGTATAATCTGGATGTACATGTTAAGTCTTTTGCAGCAAAACCCATAATTTTGCAGCACTTCAAAGATAATGTTATTTTTACATGGCTCATGTTACATGCATCTGGACCATGATCCAAGAAAACATATACACAGAACTAGGTTAATCTTTAAAGCACCATAGCACCCAGTGCAACCATGGATGACTTATCTGCTTAATTATGTAGATCTGTCTTTTGAAATGCCTGCTACTAATTCCTTGTTGACAGGTTCATAGGATACAAAGCATAACTTCATTGACACAGAAGATTCAAAGAATTTTAACATTTATTTTTACAAGGCATTTGCCTCATTGGTTTGTGAGGTTTATCAAGGTTAAATTTGTGCTACAGTTCTCAGCCCATCCATTGCCTGCAATGGACTGGATACATTTCTGACATAAAAATGAATCCCACAGCTCTTAGGCTACCAGTTTAATCAGTTAATGTTAAGTCAAAGGATATACATATAGAGAGATTGCCAAACCTTTCGTCACTTTAAAAAAGAAAAGCTTTATAACACCAAAACCATGCTTCTTGTGATGTTTGCACAATCTGCATTAGTTCTTCAAGTTTTATTAGACAATCTTTTGGAATTATTTTAAAGGAAAAGGAACCAAAACAGAAACTTTAATGTAAATGCATTATATTCTGCAAGCCAGGAAGCTTTTTATGTCTTAAGTTCTAGTTCATCCAAAAGGCAAATGGATTCTCTCAGCGAAGCCTATATTTGCAAAGGTTCAAAGGCTTAGTGTGATGGAGAACTATAGAAATCATTTGATTAGACTTAAGGAGAACTCACAGGCCAAAAAGCAGCCTACAAACAATGCTCTAGGTTTTTTGCTGTTTAAGATTGGCAATCAACATAGGAGCAGTATCTAGCAAGCTAGATGCATATCTGGTGAGTTGTCTTTGAAAGAGGCATATCTGCTGTTAAATGCTTGGAGACTACAGTTTTTGTGTATGCCTTCAGAGGTGACACAATGTTAAATAAGCTTGAAATATCAAACAACTTACACATGTGCAAAGCCACAGATATTCTTGCTGAACAACTTTTCAACTCATCCCTAAAACAGCACAAAATGATCATTGAATCTTGGATTGAACATCTGATTAGATCTTTATCACCTGAAACCAATGATATAAACCCTACTCTTGAGTAACCTTTATAAAAGATTACAAGGGAGAGTTTCCAAGAAATTTATTTTCCAACCATTTTTGAATTAAATGCCCATTATTCGGACAGTACTTTCAACAAAGAAAATCTGCTCAGAACAGAAACATTATATCTGGGAGAAGGGAAGCAATGGTGTTTACGAAAGTGTAAACACACACATACAGCTGGAAGCCAAGTTATCAATAGTTACATGCCTGGATAGGGTAGAAAGAACAACTGAAAAAAAAATCCAATTATTAGCACCTTGAAGTTGAGCTTGAGTTGCACTGACCTCAAAAATGTGGGGAATTCTGAAAAGTGAAATCAGAGTCATATTTAAGATTTAGGGCATTTTTATTGTTAAGGCACATAGGACCCTAACACTGAGATCAAATAGAGATATGAAAGGCTTTAAATCACAATAACTGATTGCAATAATGATTCTTATAACAAATCTGGCTTCTTCTCTGGAAACTAGTTTTAGAAA